ATTTTTTCTACATAATTTTGAAAGTTAGTCTTTTAGCCGATTATATATTTCTAAGTTTTATTGTGTGTTCAGCATTCCCGCCAAAATGTTACAGAACAAAAGAAAGCATGCAGAACAACAAAACTCAAGGTAGGGAAATATGGTAGGGGTGATCCGACTCAGATCATCCCTGTTAGAACAAAGGAGGTTGGATGTAAATAAAATGACTAGTAATGATTTCAAATTTTGCAAAGGATTTTGCACAGTTAAAAAACGCATAAAAATACAATGTCAATTAAATTACAATTTTGTTTTGTGCGTTCAAGATTCCTGAAATAAATTTGTGCTAATTAACTCGCCAATTCAACTAACGAACTGAATTTTCGAGAAAAAAAAAATCAGTAACTGATAGCTTAGTAACATGACGGAATAAATGAATACTGTCATATTTCTGCGGTATAAGTAAGACAGATTTATTGAAGTACTGATCTATCGTCCCATAAAACAAAAACCACAGACACCAAACCCACCAGCCGCCATATTCGCAGTGATGTTAAGGCAATTTCGATTAGATTTGGTCAGGGGGAGGTAACTCCGCAAAGACCTCATTTAATATTCATATATTCATTAATGGCGATGAGCCCGAAAGCTGCGTCTATCGATAAAAATGTATGATAACAAATCACATACATGCATTTGAATTAAAAACGGGTATCAATATGATTTAATTTATTTACTGAAACGCGAATATTGTATGTTTGTGCCTTAATTATATTGTAAACGGTTACAATAGCTGTTTTTCTTGCGGAGATTGTCCACTTGCGGGACTCGCCTCCTTTTGAGGATCAACCAATCAGAAGACGATCGCCGTCGTAAAGATGTTTGTGGTTTGCAGAATGGAAAGCACCTTGCTGCGGAAAATATTTTCACTTCTACGTGAAAATCTAACATGAAAAGTAAGTTTAAGACACGAAATTTGTAAAATTTATGAAACATACATTGTTTCTTTTGTTGATCATTCCTTTCAGATGGCGAAAAATGGCACAGTATAAGAAAAAAACGAGTTCAGTGTTAGCAAGTATGATATACACGTGGTCAAAACGAAAGTAGACTGCAAAAAATATATGAAATTAGAATAATTTATAGAATCTAGTCAGTAAATGAACAGAATATCGAATGAAATAAGTTTTCTGCATCTTGTCAAGATCCCATTCTCAACACTCGCCCTGTAATTCGTTCCTAATTTACGTTTTGTAGGCAACCTGTCTGGTAAATTTAAACACTGGCTCCACAGTTGCTTCGGAGCCCGGTACCCACATTGCTTGAGCCGGGATCTCTACCTCCAAAGCATGGAGACCGAACACGGGAGCCTTGGGCACATAACCTTGTTCGAATGAACCATGAGCCCCTTATTTGGAGCCTGGGACACATGGAACCCTGATCCCTTAATTAATAATTTGGAGCCCACACTGGCACTGCCACAGACCATGATGGGATCCCCCAATTCCAGCCTCAAGTCCAGATTATAATATTTTTTGCTGAAGGCTTTGGGTATTTTTCAACGCCCTTTTTTTATAGATTTCTACTTGAAGTTGAAAGCGTCAAAAGCAAAACACAGCATGAAATCCTTTCATAATTTAGATGTCATAATTATTTGGACTAATCCCTGACCTTGCACCGTTATCTGAAAAATGCCTGCACCTTGGATAAATTATCTTAGAAATAGTATTTTTCACATGTACTCAAAGTCATCAATATGACCAATAGCAAATATATATACTTGTTGAATGAATTGACCAATTTAAATGCATAGTCCAAATATTATAATATTATGATTTCTTGAAATACAGATTTGTTGATTTTTTACTGTGAAGCCTTCTGAAGGCATCACAGCAAAAAAATAAAGAAGCCTTTCATGACAATATATAATTGGACTAATACATATATTATGTAGTTTGTTAATCATGACTGCCCACCTTGACATGTTCTTTTAAGATATGGTTATCATCAGTATTTAAATTAAAATAACACTGCATGCATGCAGATCAGATATTTATATACATGTGTACCTCAGTCATAGCAAACATTGTCAAGGCAGTAAATTGTTTAGTACTGTAAATTCAGAAAGAATTGCGAGGTTTTAATGAATGTGAATAATGCGACTGAATGAGTATCACAATTATAAAAACTCACATTCGGGTATCAGCATAATTAGATATAAGATGTGGTATGAGTGCCAATGAGACAACTCTCCATCCAAGTCAAAATTTATAAAAGTAAACCATTATAGGTCACAGTACGGTCTTCAACACGGAGCCTCAATGGCTCACACCGAACAGTAAGCTAAAAAGGGCCCCAAAAATGACTAGTGTAAAACCATTCAAACGGTATAAACCAACAGTCTAATCTATATAAAAAATGAGAAACGAAAAACACTTATGAACAATGATGAACCACATCAACAAACGACAACTACTGAAAATCTGATTCCTAAATATTTGATATTGAGTTAGAAAAGTAGGGCCTTAAAATTCAGGATTTATGAACAGGAAAGATTAAGAGAAAGCTTAATTTTTTACTTTGACAACTATTGGATATGCATGTACCAACCATTCATCTTTATATTATTTTTTTGGGGGGGAGGGGAGGTTCTATCTAGGAACAATCAATTTTTAGCTGGGTATATATACTGTACAATGTAAATTTCATTTTGGTTGAATCATGAAGCAGAGCTACTGTACATGTACCAGCCTGTTAAGTCTTGGCTTAAATACAAACAATGTAGGCTTGCTTTATTTGAGCATGTTGAGGTACATGTAGTTGTAAATTAACACTAAATCAGTGGCAGATCCAGAAATTTTCATAAGTGGGGGCCCACTGACTGCCTAAGAGGGGGCCCAATCCAGTCATGCTTTTAGTGATTCCCTATATAATCGACCACATGTTTCCCACAAAAGCCACCCCCCCCTAAATCCTTCTCTGTAAATATTGCTTGTATTATTTTCTTAGTGTTATATAGTTCTTGGAACATCCTAAACACTATAGGCCCTAGAGACCAACAAATTACAGAATAAATTTATACAAGTACATGATATACAGTGTCATATAGTTGCTAACATCTACTTTGTTTGGTCTCGGGTAGATAGTTGTCTCATTGGCAAATGATTTGTAATCAAACCACATACATGTTGTATTATTTTTAATGAGGCCTGGATCTATCCATGGATTTTGTATTGCCGTATAATAAAACAAAAGTCAGACAAATTTTGACTTTACAATGCAACAGAAAATGTGTGTGTTAATTTTTTGTTAAATGGTTTAAAAAATGTACCGGTAGTACTTTTTTATAAATGTTATAGGTACTTGGGAGTTTTTCATAATCTTAGTAAAGGTTAAAGTTGTTCCCTAAAAACATACAAATTACATTGGACACATGAATTGCTAAAATCTGTGGGTGTTTTTTATGCCCTGCTCTAGGCAACAAGGGTATTTAGTGTTACCCTTGACTATCTGTCAAATTTTAGTTTCCGCAATTACTTTAGTATGTCTCATGAAAAATTTTATGAAACTCATACACAATTGCTAAGAACCACAACATGCAGACAGACTTTCGGTTGTGATTTATTTACCGTTCTAGAGTTATGCCCCTTTTCATACCTGCAAACTGTCACTATTTGTGGGGGATTTCCATCATGAAAGCTCTCAAATAGAAATTTTGTAAGAGCAATTTAGTGTTCAATTTTAAACAAAACAGTTAATTTTACAATTGCTATAGGCTTTTAAAAGTATGGAGAAGTCAAAAAACAACATTAAAATACATTTGAAGGTTTTATCGGACTATTAGAGCCATCTTTCAGGCAAAACCCCCATGGGCATTTTGATAAGTTGGCAAGTATGCCTTTTTAACTTGCAAAATTGAAAAGGTTGAGCTGGGGCATTCATGTCCACTCTTTTATTGTTGAGTGATTTTTGTTCCAAAATGATCTATCTAGACATGGTTCCTGTTACCAAATTTTCAATCACTTGAAACGCTTGTCGAAGACGGGACATATTAACTGTACCAATGTCCATGATGTCCATCTGTCTGTCAACACTTTGTAAGATTACTTATGTTTGATGTAATTTGATCACAACAATATCAAGATTTTATATTAAACATTTTGGCTGTGTCATTCCAGAGTTACAGGTCTTTAAGAGGGTAAGAAGTACCCCAAATGGCGAATGACGATAAAATATTTGTGTAAATAACGTTAAAGATAAACATTTTACTCCATTTGATGCCAAGTAGCTACAAAATGAGATATGAGATAAAAAATCAAGGCTCATTTGATGCTAACGGTAGCGAAAACAATAACCCCCTCCCCTGTAAGGTAAATGGTTGCTCCCTTAGGAAATTATTTATGGTTGCTGTGGTTTTAAATTAAATATATATTTTAACAAAGGTTGGTCATGTTGGTGTACATGGTGTAGGGTTTAATTCTTACAAATAGTATTAAAATACCAGAGTTCTCAAAAAGTGGTTGTCCGCAGGTTTTGACTACCAATAATTTTCAAAGGATTGAATGCAAGTTTGGTATTTTGCAATAGAAATAAAGTGAGGACCAGCAGATTTTCCTTAAGGACCACCAGGGAAAAAAAGATATCTAGAACTTTTTTGTCCAGTTGTCAGTGACTAAAATTAAACCATGACAGCCATGAAATCAGATTCTGCCAATTCTTAATGAACAAGTTAGTATTTGAAAGGGATCAATTAGAAACAGAGGCGGATTTAGAGGGTTTTTCAGGGGGCCCGGGCCCCCCTTTTTTGGGAAAAATTTGGTTGATTATATAGGGAATCACTGAAGCATGACTGGAGCGGGCCTCCTCTTAGGCAGTCAGTGGGCCCCCACTTATGAAAAATTCTGGATCCGCTACTGAGAAATGTTCAAAATAAAGCCTGCAGTCCTTATACATGAACATGTACATCTGTAAAAAAAAAGGATCTGTTTATGTATTACATAATTACTTTCTCTTATTTTTAGTTGACCTGTCAAATACAAGATACAGAGTGCCAGTCCCACTTTGATGAAGTATTAAAAGCAATGGTTGGAATAAGGAAAGCTTTATTATTTAAACAGGTAAATTGATGCATTTTTCTTTTTGCTCCTTGTTAAAACTGGTTATCATTTGTTTTTATACAACCGCAAAAATTTTGCGGTCGTTTATTGGTATGACGTTGGCGTCGTCGTCGTTCGAAGACACATTGGTTTTCGCACTCTAACTTTAGTTAAAGTGAAAGGATCTCTATGAAATTTTACCATCAGGTTCAATACCACAAAGGGAAGGTTGGGATTGATTTTGAGGGTTATGGTACCAACAGTTAAGGAATTAGGGGCCAAAAATAAGCATTTTTATATGACCGCAAAAATTTTTTGGGGATCTTATAATGGTATGATGTCGTCGTCGTCCGAAGACACATTGGTTTCTGGACAATAACTTTAGTTTAAGTAAATGGATCTCTATGAAATTTTTTAAGAAGGTTCAATACCACAAAAGGAAGGTTGGGATTGATTGGCCCAACCGTTTAGGAATTAGGGGCCCAAAACAAACATTTTTCTAGTTTCAGGAAAATAACTTGTATATAAGTATTTCGATTGCTCTGAAATTGTACGACAATGTTTAATACCACAAGTAGAAGGTTGGGATTTATTTTAGGGGTTATGGGGCCAACAGTTTAGGAATTAAGGGCCAAAAAGAGGCCAAAAACAAGCATTTTTCTAGTTTCCAGACAATAACTTGTGTGTAAGTGAATGGATCTCTCTGACATTGTACCACAAGGTTCCATATCACAAAGGGAAGGCTAGGATTGAGTTTGGTGTTAATTGCCCAAATATGTAGGAATATGGGGCCAAAAAAGGGCCAAAAACAAGCATTTTTCTAGATTCCAGACAATAACTTGTGTTTAAGTGTATGGATCATCTGAAATTGTACTACAAGGTTCAATACTACAAAGGAAAGGCTGGGATCGAGTTTTGTGGTTATTGCTCCAAGGGGGGTTTCAAAAAGTTGGGGGGGGGGGGGGGGGGGGGGGGTTTCCAATTTTTTTTAGAGGATTCATATTTTTTTTTTCAAAATTTTTCAAATTTTGAATTTTTGAAAAGTTTCAAGAAGAAATCTTCAATTGCACAGTATTGCGCAATAGATTTGTAAGATCTTTGACCACATTTATTTTGTGTCAGAAATCTATGTTATGTCAAAAATTTGATCACAATCCAAATTCAGACAGTATCAAGCTTGAATATTGTGTCCAAATTTGTACCAACTGTTCAGGGTTCGACCTCTGCGGTCGTATCAGGCTGCGCTCAGCGAAGAATTTTATTGTAACTTCCAAACATAACTTGTGTGTTACTGTATGGGTCTCTCTGACATTGTACCACAAGGTTGCATATCACAAAGGGAATGCTTGGATTGATTTTGGGGGTAATTGCCTCAAAATTTTAGGAATTAGGGGCCAAAAAAGGGGCAAAAAACAAGCATTTTTCTAGTTTCATAACAATAACTTGTGTGTAAGTGTATGGATCTTTCTGAAATTGTACTACAAGGTTCCATATCACAAAGGGAAAGCTGGGTTTGAGTTTGGGGGTAATTGCCCTACACGTTTAGGAATTTGGGGCCAAAAAGGGGCCTAAAAACAAGCATTTTTCTAGTTTCCAGACAATAACTTGTGTTCAAGTGTATGGATCTCTCTGAAATTGTACTGCAAGGTACCATACCACAAAGGGAAGGCTGGGATTGAGTTTGGGGGTGATGAATCATAAGGGGGTTCACAAAATTTGGAAGAGGGATTTTTTTTTTCCTTTTTTTTTTTCTTTAAGATTTTCCATTTTAAATTGGTTATTTCTGATTTATATATAAAAGCAAATAATAATGATATGGTTTGAATATGTAAATTAAAAAAATTTAAGTTCTTAGACCACATTCATTCTGTGTCAGAAACCTATGCTGTGTCAAATATTTAATCACAATCCAAATTCAGTGCTGTATCAAGCTTGAATGTTGTGTCCATACTTGCCCCAACTGTTCAGGGTTCGACCTCTGCGGTCGTATCAAGCTGCACCCAGCGGAGCATTTTATTGTATATCATATTTGTTTTTTTACGCCTGTTAACGGGACGTGTTATTGTATACCTCTGTCCGTCCGTCTGTCATCAATATGTCGGCAATAACTCAAAAACACTTGAACCAATTCACATTAAACTTTGGTGAATTGGTTATATCTATTGATCTAACATGTCTAAGCTCCCTTTCCTTTTTTAATGAATTTTAGATTTTAAGTTTCCATGTTTTGGGTTTTTTTTCATTAAAAAAGGGTGGTTTTCCAGTTTTCGGACAATAACTCAAAGACACTTTCACCAATTTGCAAGAAACTTTTGTAAATTGTTTATATCTATTGACTTGAGCTCGCTTTCTATTTTTATAAATTTTAGATTTAACGTTTCTGAGTTATGGGGTTTTATTCATTAAAACAAGGGGGATATTTAGTTATCTGACAATAACTCAAAAATAATTCCAGCAGTTTTCATGAAACTTTGGTGAATTGTTTATATCTGTTGACGTAAGCTCCCTTTTGTTTTTTATATATTTAAGATTTTACGTTTCAGAGTTATGTGATTTTATTCATAAAAAAGGGGTGATTTTCCAGTTTTCAGACAATTATGCTTTGAGCAGTTATCATGAAACTTTGGTGAATAGTTTATATCTATAAAGATAACCTCCCTTTAGTTTTTCATGAATTTCTGATATGACATTTAAGAAGTTATTGAAATTTATTCTTTGAAATAGCTACGGGCGTATCATGTGCACTCATGGCAAAGCTGTTTATTCATTTATTGTTATTGTACATGTACATAAATCAGGCTGTACAGTGACCTATATGCATATATGGAGCATTACATTCATATAACAAATAGTTACATAAGAAAATCTATTAATATAAAGGTAAGAAGATGTGGTATGACTGCAAATGAGACTACCATCCACCAGAGACCAAATGATGTAGATGTATGCATCTATATATAGGCATGTTTGTGATACAAAAAAAATCATCAAATCACATCAATAGATTTGGTTCAAATTTAGGAGTATATAATTAAATATTATTGAACATTTTACTATACAAATACAGGTATACAGATAATCTAAAGAGAAAGCTATAGTAGGAATATTTAATATTCTCAGGTATCCGGCTTCTGTTGCTTGGAAACAGTTATGTTTAAACAAACTGTATATATAAAAAAGAAGATGTGGTATGATTGCCAATGAGACAACTCTTCACAAGAGACCAAATGACACAGAAATTAACAACTATAGGTCACACCGTACGGCCTTCAACAATGAGCAAAGCCCATACTGCACAGTCAGCTATAAAAGGCCCCAAAATGACAATGTAAAACAATTCAAACGAGAAAACTAACGGCCAAATTTATGCACAAAAAATGAACGTAAAAAAACAAATATGTAACACATAAACAAACGACAACCACTGAATTACAGGCTCCTGACTAAGACTTGGGACAGGGATATGCATATTTTCCTGAAAGAGCAATAATTAATCTTGCACTTTTTTTCTGTTTTCAATGGTCGCAATAATAAACGCATGCAATAATTTCTGAATTTACATGATTATATATCACATATATATATATATATGTTCTTGTATAAATACTAGTAGATATGCTTAAATCTGGTTTAGGATAATATTTTTTACAGTTATTTGCAATTATCTATAACATTTTTTTATTTTAGGAAACAGTAATGAATGAATGAAGATTTGTATCCCTTTTCAATTCATCTGAAAACCTGATGATTGAGCGGTCTTGCAAAAAATGTACCTACGGAGTCAGATGGGCTAGTGCATTCATTTCCATAAACTGAACTCAGTAACTGTTCAAGGGTAAGTGGTTGTAAAAAAAGTTTGATGTTATACTTATTTGTTATTTAGTAGAGACAATAAAAGAAGAAGACTTTAAAAAAAATTTGCCTTTTTCAGGGTCGAATTGAGAATTTTTCAGGTCGAATGACATACCCTGTTTCACCACTACAGTACAGTGCATAAGTGTTTTATTTGACACCCTGCTCTTTTTAATATGTCTGTAAACTGACAGAAAATGAAAAACAATCTTAGTCAGTAAATCTTGTTAACTTTTAATTTTACCAAATTATAAAGAATTAGGCTTTGCATTAATTTCCACTAATTTCTTTTAAGAGTTATGGGACACTAAAATTTGACATAATAAGCAATATTTCATGTTTCGCACATTAACAATTTAAGAAGAATGTTTTTCTTATTAACAATTTTGATTCTGCCGTTCTATAGTTCTGATACTTTCATCTTTAAAAATGTGCCTCATTATGTTATTTTTTTTTTTTTTTTTTTACTAGCTATAGCTAGGACAAATGAATAAATGAATATACAGGACTTGTCATTACTGCATTAGGAAAATTACTAGTTCTTGTGGAAAATTAAAGGAACATCAAAATCCTTATTATATACAAACTATTGATCTGCATATGTATTGTTAAAGAACAAACATCCTTCAAAGTAGTAAAGTTCTAATTTAAAAACTGCAAGTGTGTGCTTGAAAAACCATATACAGGTACCTAGCATGAACAATTTCACCAAATTTAAACAAATGACAAAGTTCAAATTACCTGTGATTTGAGGAAAATATAAAGAAAGAAAATGAATCCTGATAAAATGCACAACAGTAATATATTTTCTTATGCCTTTTATAATGTAAAAAGATTTTCCTCATACTCTTCCTTGAATGGGACATAGCATGAACAGTTTGAGGTTATATTTTGATGCTCTATTGACACATTATTTGTCTTTTACCTAGATTTTTACTTTTATGTTAAAACTGCTGTACTTGCATTCTGTTTATTGCTTGTGGGGTAATGTTCTGTTTTGGTTAATGTGATTAGTAATTTTTGTATTTTTTCTATTTCAGCTTTACACAATACCTGAGTGTACATTTCCAGTTACTAATTACAATGATTTATGTGTAACCTAAATTTCATATTGTTACACTTCTTCGTCACTCGACAGATAGAATTAGACACATCTCTGGAGAAGAAAAAAATCTTTGTAATGTTCAAGACAGAATTAATGAAAAAGATCAAGAACTAATACAACTATATGCTTGTAGTACAGATGTAAACTTTTATGAAATGTTTTAAACTAAAGCTACACTTTAAAGCTTTCTGAAAATATATTAAACCAGGAGACATATTAGCTACAATTTAATTTTAAGATGACACTGGACATTCTTAGTTGTTTATTACTCAATGAATAGTTAGTTTATAGCATAAGGCCATAAGTTATTGTGACCCAATTAATTTGTTATAATGATATTTACTTCATTTTTAAAAAATTGCATTAATATTTGTTTATGATCAATGAATCAGAAAAACTGTGTTTGTTTGTTTGGTTTTTTTTATTTAGAAAATTTATTACCAAGAGTGGAGGTCTTTGAAATATAAATCTATGGATTTTCTTTTCTATATGGAGTAAAATGGTATTTCATGTATATGTTGTATAAAAAATATAAATACTAGAAACAAAAAAAACATGTCTCATATTATGATCTGCATTCCTTATAAAAATAAGAAAAATATGGTATCATTGCCAATGAGACAACTCTCCACAAGAGACAAAAGGACACAGAAATTTAAAAACATCTGCAGTTCACTACGGCCTTCAACAATGTGCAAATCCCATACCAATTATTCATGCTTATAGTACATCCACTTTGTACTTTTTTATTGATATTGGTTGGGCATGAAAATAATAAGGTGATATGATTGCCACTGAAAGAATCTCTAAAAATCTAGTTTAAGGACAATGGTGTGATTGTTAAGTTGATCAAGGTGCATAATTGCTAAATATACATCGTAGATTTTATATATATATATATATACATGGTCTCAAAATAAAATAAAACGATATTTGTTCAAGACATAAACACGGGTATAATTTGAATTCTCGCCTGCCTCATTTCTATCCTGTTTGAGCTGAGTAACAAAACAGATTAATGTTTTGTCCTCCATATACTGCAAAGAATGAGAAGTCTTACATTGCCATTGACACAACTACCCACTAGAGTTTAAATGACGTAGATGTAAACAAATATACTTAGCCACTGTAAAAAATGAGAAAACCCATACTGTAGTATCGTCTATAAAAGGCCCCAGTCTGGTAAATGTGATATAATTCCATAAGACTGAAATTAACCAACGACAACCACTGCAATAGAGGTTTGTGACTTGGAACAGGCACATAAAGAATGTGGTGGGGTTAAACATATTTGTGAGTGCTCAAACTCTAACCTGGAAGAGTAGTGGAACAAAGCATAGAACAATTTCATAAATTTCACTTGAATATTGACCACATGATTTCAGTGTGTTATTTAAATTCTTGAACAGTGTAAATTTTGCTGGATCAGTGGAGTAGAAAATATAATTAAAAAAACAACTGAACCAGTTGTGGGAGTGTTATATAGTACAGCAAACAATTTGCATATTCTGAGAGCCTAGCATAGTTGCGTGATTCTTCCCTATATTCTCTTTTCCATTACCAATTTCTGCCACTTCAAACATTTACCAAAGTACATAATTTTTCACACTGACTTTGAGAGTGGTGTCTGCTGAAATTTTTGTTGTCTAAAAAATGCAGGTCAACTGTTATCCGGGCAAATATCCAGACAAATAAGAATTATGACTGGAATCAGGTAGGTGTTGCACAATTAAAAAACAGAGTTTTTACGAAACTTGGGACAATTCGACAGCCAATTTTTTATTTCTTTTTCTATTTCACGAATGAAGAATTTTTTTTTTACAGTTGACATTAAGATAGTCCCCCACCTTCATAGATTATTCTTTTTATTGGGCAGATTAGCTCTTTTCTTTATATGTATGAGATAATATCTAGCAAAATTAAAATTTTTATTTTTAATACCCAACTTTACTGATGAATGGACTTAGTTTTTTCAGTTTACATTTTAATACATGGTGGGAAGGGGGGTGCTTCATGAAATGTTGTGATTCTTGGACATTTATAGCTTCTTCATGTTCAAGAAATAGCATTTGTAGAGAACGTTTCAATATCTTAATTTTATATTTTGATAATAGTCATGAGAATCTCGGATGTGCTATAATATTTTGGAAGTCAACATTACACAGATGACCCACACACACACACACACACATACACACACACTGATGGCAGCAATCACAGGTGAGACTCAAAGGAGGGGATTCATGAGTCCTTTATACATTTTTTTCTCACAAATTTATCTTGTGTAAACGAACAATATAAAAAAAAAATGCACATCTAAAAGCAAATCTGGGAAAATACTGTTGTTTTTTAAAAGGTCTTTTAACAAATTATTTTTTTATTCTTACAAGGATAAAAGTTGCAAATATATATATTTAATAAATAAATGAACAAATATATCTCCAGTATTAGTAAATACAAATAAAACATTACTTGAAGTCCGTAGTTTAAAATACGCGGCATTAATACTTTTCCGGAGTTTTGTCCGCTATTGAGTACAGCCGATCACGTCATCAAAGCGTTTGTTGATAATGAACGTAAAATATATAAAACGGTACACGATTAAAAAATTAAAAAGTCCAGCGTGTTACTGACGATGGATTTACTTGATTGGACATGATTTAAAACGACTGATATCTCTTTTAAAAGAAAACTGCTATCCAAACACTGGTATGCGTTCATATCTTTGAAATATCATAGTATCAAATGGGGATTTCGTTAAAAAGTCACATTTTTCATCGGATTTATATTAATTTTTACCGTAAGACAGTATAGTTCAATCTTTGGATAGCACTTTTTAGAAAATATACATTCCAACGAATGTATTGATACTTTGTTTAACATTCAAATATTCCTTTAACACGCTGGACTTTTGAGTTGAAAATGTAATGTACAACCTTCATTGGCAACTCGGGTCACGTGACTACTTTCACTTTCGATATGAAATACCCATGCAAGATTAAATATAGGTCTTTTTGTTTCATTCTACGATCTCTGTTTTCCTGATTTTTTTGCCATTTTCTTATGATATGAACTTCCATATAACATGCAATTTTACGCATTTTTCTTGTAAAGTGCCTTAATATCACTGCGTTAACTAAAGGGTGAAACAACAGCCTTTGACAATAAATTTTATTATTGAAATAATATGACTGTATTTCTGCAGCTCACAAGTATCGAATCTGTGAAAATTATATCCACGAAAGATGTGGCAAGCAAACTGTTTACAAAGGTCTTCGTTTAACTTACAGCTAAACACGCTTTAGGCCATTAAGCTTATTGCATTGCAATCATTTATTTTTCTTGTTATTTAGCATAACGCCCAGTTACGTTCATTGTCGCAAACACAAAAAAAGGATCTGTCGTTATTATTACGTAATTAGAATCGGGAATACTTACTTTGTGTTGTAGAAATAACCCACATCCATAGTATCACTAAATAGGAAAATTCGAATAATAGCATCCCTTATTCTCAAGACGACTTATTGCGACATCATGAAATCTGAAATTACAAGTATACACTGAAAACTGATTGCTTTTAATAAGGAAGTGTTATTTGTTGGACGAATCATTTTTACTTGTAAGTAACAAACTACTGAAGCATTTGCTGTTATTTTTAGATGATATATAAAAGTAATATTACTGTAATTCTTAATCAAAAGTCATGATCGGTGTTCAATACGCCTGTTGTGTCAAGACACCAAAACAGGATACGATGAAAACGTTATTAAAGTAGATTTTTTTTAAATGTAATAAATCTTATATTATGATTGAGGCCAAATTTCTTAAGATTTAAAAAGGAGGAAACTGTTTGAAAGCATATCCTACTGAACATTCAGGTTGTTAATGCATTTCATAAATTAAATATGGATAATTGATGTCGAAATACGCAATCAGGCAAGAGTTGATGTAATTTTATTTCTTAACTCTAAAGTAAACAATGGAAGTAGTTTCAAAATCTTGATTTGTTTTAGGGGGGGATAAATGTAGACTATCGGTATAATCAAGAGCACAATTATGTGTCTTAACTATTAACGAATAAAAAGTGGATATACGTCAAATAAACAGAAACTCAACGACACAAACAATACACCAAAAGACACCTAGCTAGAGTTCCAAATAAATGTACGGTCCACAACAGTAGAAAAGGGTCCAATCTAAATTTGAATTGTAAGTACGATCTCACAAGTATACAATGCAGCAATTACTTTATAGTGTTACACTTCATTCATTTAAAATTGATTATTCTGCGTTCAGCAGGATATGGAACTATAGAATGCTTTTAAAATGGCAAATACGGCTACAATATTATTTGTTTTGCAATTGTGTATTCTAGTTTCTTTATCCTTTGCAATTTCCATATTGCTGTTTATAATTGTTTGTAATATACTACAAAAATCCAAAATTATGAATTCCTTTGAAAATTGAATATTTGAGAGTTACTGATGGAGGTAAATCCAGAAAAGCGCTTCGGACGCACGAAATTTATAAAGAGTTATTTTCGTATTATAAAATAAAAATAGTATTCAGCGGTTGTTGTTGAGGGCATTTCGATACAACGTTTTACATGCATATGTTTTATAAAATTTTGCACCAAAGGACGTCTCTTACCAAATTACTTATGAATTAATGTGTATCCGAAAGACTTACCTTATTACTGTAGTATAAATAATTTTGGTTTTGGGTAACAACGTTCAGCTTTAATTTTGTAAAAACTACTAAATACTAAAAATTTGTCAAAATTGCGTGGTTTTTTTTCGGTCTTTAGGCGTTTATACTTTGATAATCTGTTTAGAAATGCGTAAAAATATTTGTTTTATCCTCAAAGTACACATATGAAACTGTGATCCTGTGAATTTAATAAAGATTGAAAGACTTTATGAAAATAGCCAAGATGTGAAATAAATTCATGGGAAAATGGTCTTTATTTACTGAATAAATGGCGCTTCTCTCATTAATCGGTCTGATTTAAGAAATAAATCAGAACATTTCAGCAGATTAGCAAGAATTAACTTCACACAACGTACGTATGTACAATATTCTTATTAGATTGAGAACATATTTTAATTCTTTAATATAAAACAGCAAATGAACCAAAACAACACGGATCCAAGTATTGAAAAATAAGTATTTGAATACCCGTGTAACAGGTACATTATTTTTAATTGTAATGCAGGGGCCGTGTCAACGAAGCTGTCTTAAGACTAGAACGTGTCTTATGACACGTTACAGTCCTAAGTCAGGTTAACGAAAGTCTCCTAAGATAAGATATGTCCTAATTCTGGTCCTAAAGTTAGGATATATACATAGGTGTCTTAGGATGGTCTTAGGATAGTCCTAAAAGTTACGATGTCCTAAGTTGAAATAAAAACAACATATATGACCGCCGTGTATGTTCATGTAAGACGACGAGCAAAGAACATTCGCAGAAACAGGTGTTTAGGGACAGAGACAATCCATTAGATTATTTGGACGATGTTGATATTATTCGTAAATATAGACTTTCTAGACCAATGATACTAGAACTTTGTAGAAAGTTTCAAAATGAACTCGCTAGGCCGACTAAAAGATCCCATGCAATTCCCGTCTCATTACAAATAATGGTAGCCTTGCAAATTTATTTGCTTTAAGTCTTTGAAAGCCTTTTCATGTACGAAAAAGGAAAGTATGCTAGAAACACTTACTGGAAATGTGAAGATATGATTGAAGCTTTAAATTTTCTCCTGGACAACATATATGTTCGTTTCGGCGATAAAATGTATCGACAGGTAGTAGGTATTCCTATGGGCACTAACTGGGCCCCTTTAATAGAAGATTTATTTCTGTATTGCTATGAATCTCAGTTTATGACCAAACTCAGTTAAGACACGTCATTGTTACACTTGGTTGATACATTCAACAATACTCACCGTTATCTTGATGATATTTTTTCGTTAAATAATCCAGAGTTCTCTAAATATACTACCGAAATTTACCCAAAGGAACTTACTTTAAATAAATCTAATATAAACAGCAGTAGTTGTCCTTTTCTAGATTAAGACATTTCGATTTTTAAAGGGAAACTCCCTACTAAAATTTACGACAAAAGAGACGATTTTTCATTCTCTATTGTTAATTTTCCCTTTTTAGACGGCGATGTTCCTTTGGCTCCATCATACGGTGTTTATATATCCCAACTCGTTCGTTATGCCCGTGTGTGTAGTGATGTCATAGATTTTAACGAACGTAATACATGCATCACTGGTAAATTATTAAGTCAGGGATTTCGTTACCATAAATTGCTTAAAACTTTTACTAAATTCTTTCATAGATAGTAAATTTGGCTGTACCTGTAGAAAACTTATTAAAAACGGTATTTCACATCCTAAATTTTACGGTAATATTGTACTAAAAGCGCGGAAATCACTATGTGATCCGTGTAAACTCATCGAACCTTTAAACAAACTTATTAGTAAAGGTTATCTTACCAATGTTGTAATTAGATCTTTGAATATAGTTTACATTGGCACAAATATCGATTTTGTCATCAGCAGATTAAAACATAACTAAATTTGTATTCTTTTCAAACGTTTTTTTGGAATGTATAAATACACATCCACGTTCATTTTCTATATAGAGATTACTCTCTCTATATATTAAATTATACATATTTATTAACAGGTTAACTCCTAACTATCCTACTGCCTGTCGATACTTTTATTTTGGCATTGCACAAGTCATGTCTTCTTTGACTGTCCATGACGTTAAAACACTAAATCCCTGGGATGTGTTTAAGGTGATTTTAGTCTTTGATGCATGATTTTTTTATTATTAATTGTTTTTAGCTTTTAACTAGCTTTCAGTAACTGCGAGTACTCTCAGATCGTACTTTCGTGTTAATTTGACCTGTTGATACAATTTGTAATGTATTTTTGTTATTTAATGTTTACTTATTCAGTTTTATATCTAGTCTCACTATTTTTAATATACCACCTTTGATAAGTGTTTAGTATGACGATACATTTTCTCTTTTGTTCTCGTAATGAGAACAACAAAATTATTTAATTTGTAAAAATTATTTCCGTACTCCATGTATACCTTACAACAAAATTAATTTTATTTACATGTGTACATTATTTTATTTGGCGGCATTTTGTCCAAGGTTATGGTTGTCTTTCTGATATTGTTAAACATCTTACCCCCTTGTTTTATTAATTTTGTATTTACATTGTGTCATAGATCAAATTTTTTCGTTCAGTGCATGTTCACTTGTTTTTGTTAATATGTCTTTTGATTGAGTTAAGCCATTTCAATTGATATTTTATAGTGTTTCTTTCTATGTTGTGATGTTACACTATTGTTTCAGGTAGGGTGAAGGTTGGCGCCTATTAAAACGTTTAAACCCGCTGCATTTGTTTGCACCTGTCCTAAGTCAGGAACCTGATGTTCAGTGGTTGTCGTTTGTTGATGTGGTTCATAAGTGTTTCTCGTTTCTCGTTTTTTATATAGATTAGACCGTTGGTTTTCCTGTTTGAATGGTTTTACACAAGTCATTTTGAGGCCCTTTATAGCTTGCTGTTCGGTGTGAGCCAAGGCTCCGTGTTGAAGGCCGTACTTTGATCTATAATGGTTTACTTTTACAAAATGTGACTTGGATGGAGAGTTGTCTCATTGGCACTCATACCACATCTTCCTATATCTATTAAGGTTTTATGCGACTGGGAGCTTTCAGCTGGTTAATGCAGACGTCCATCGTATATCAAGAGCAAGTGTTTCTTACATTACACGTGACGTCACACAATGTTTAAAGAATGTCTGCAATCAATACATTTCGATGCCCACAGACCAAACATCTCTTCATGCTTTAAAGCAAGGTTTTTATGACATCGCTAATTTTCCAAATGTCATTGGTGCTGTAGATGGTACTCATGTGCGTATCAAAAGCCCAACACTTACACGTGAACAGAAAAATTACCATTCGCTCAATATAATGGGAGTTTTTATGACTCAAATTTGAAGTTATTAAACATAGTTGCAAAGTGGCCTGGTAATACACATGCCTCATTTGCATTGCTCAATTCAAGGCTATGTGAAATGTTTGAAGACGGAGACATACGCGATGTATGGCTTCCTGGGGACAGTGGATATCCTCTTCGACCTTGACTCCTTACACCAGTTTTAAACCTAACAACAAGACAAGAACAACGTTATAACAGTTCCCACATGAGAACAAGATGTGCTGTTGAGAGGAGTTTTTGGAGTTTTGAAATCTCGGTTCAGATGTATCGATACCACTGCAGGAACATTGTTGTACAGCCCATTTAGATGTTGTGACATTGTTATAGCTGTTGTTGTTCTTCATCTTCTTCAACTTCTTCGTGGTGATTCAATACATGTAATGAAATCGAGTGGACTTAAGGACAAAACTAGTTTATATAGTTAAATTGCAGCACGATAATAGCCTCTAACAAAGTTTTGTGACAATTTAGTTGGGTTGATGTATGAAATTTATTTATCATTTTTATTGTATATAATAATAATGTA